TTGTCTGCCTATCTGTGGATTTCACAACTCCAGCTTTCCTCACAGCCCCTGCTATTCTGTCATCTGTCTGCCTTCTCTTGGCATTAATCACTCTGCTAACAAACTTCTTACTCAAAAAGGCAATCCACCTCTGTGTTCTCCTTGACCCCCACACGAGAGACCTTTCAGAAAGTAAGGACTAAAGGAAGCAGCCTCAAGATTGCCACATAAAACTAGCCGCTGGCAGAGAAAGACTGGATGCCCTTCCCCACATGGGCTACAGGTGCCAAACAGAGCACACCTAAGAAAAGCCCAGATGCAAGTGACAGAGTGGCAGCTGGGTAATGACCTATAAAGGACCATGAGCTATTCAAGGGCTTTTCCCTCAGCTCACTGGTCACTCCCACTCTCAGGAGCAATTTCCACTCCTCCTTCAAGCCTGTGTCCCTGGTCCAATTCTCCGCCTTGGTGCACAAGAACCTTACTACTTAGACATGGCCACGAAACCTTGACAGGCTAACTAACAAGCCCCAGGGATCTACTTGTCCGTGTCTCCCTAGCACCCGGACTGTAAATACTCACCACCATGTCAGGCTTTTTATAAAACAAAGGTTGTGAGGCTTGAACTTGGGTACTTGTGTTTGCACAGCAAGCACGTTACTGGTCGAGTCACCTCTCAGCCCCTGGAGTACTTATATTCGAAAGTGTCACTCTTCTGGAGACCTGCATGTGCTGTTGCCTTCATTAGCATCTTGTCCTCATTCTGTCAAGGGAGAACTCTTTCTTCCCTCAGCTTACTGATGGCCACATGGGGTGTTCTAACATGGGACCATCCTAAATGCACCTGGATAGCTTTTGTTTCCTCCTTAAGATGTGTGACTTTCTTTGACTCAGATGCGCTCTGTGGAAACAAACTAAGATATTTTTCCTGGGATTTCCAAACATTTTTGGTGCAGCATAGTAACTGTAAAATAAGAGTTATCATTGCATGGTGCAGTTTTCAAAGAGTCATTTCTAGCAGCAAGTTTTTTTCTTTTTTTTATATTTTTTATTTAACTTTTTACACATGTCACTCTCAGTTACCTCTCCCTCCTCTCCTCCTCCTCCCCCCAACTCTCCCAACCCCTCACCCCCACTCCATCCCCCCTGTTCTCCCCAGGGAGGGCAAGAGCTTCCATGAGGGATTTTCAGAGTCTGTCACATCATCCCAGGCAGGGTCTAGGTCCTCCCCAATGTGTTCAGGCTGAGAGAGCATACCTCCACATGGAATGGGTTCCCAGAGTCCATCTGTATGCCAGGAATAAATACTGATCTACTCTCCAAGGTCCCACAGATTGCCAACGCCTCCTCTCTGACACCCAGGTTTGGGGGGGGTGTCTGGATCAGTCCTATACTGGTCCCTCAGTCATCAGTCTGAGTCAGCTGCCTCTAAGGGTTTTGCCAGCCTGATCTTGACTCCTTTGGTCATCACTCCTCTTTGCAACTGGGTTCCAGGAGTTCAATTCGGTTCCCAGCTGTGGGTGTCTGCCTCTGCCTCCATCAGCCACTGGATGAGAGTTCTAGGATGGCATATAAGGTAGTCATCAATCTTATTATCATGGGAGGGCATTTAAGGTAGGCTTAGTGCCAGTTGGTGTCATTGTTGTAGATCTGTGAAGATCTCACTTGTGCCAGATCTCTCCTCCAACTTATAATGCCTCCCTCTTTTATGGTATCTCCCATCCTTCTCTCCTCTATTCTTACCCTGGCTCAACCTTCCTGCTCTCCCATGTCCTCCTCTCCGTTCCTCTTTTCCCTCTCTCTTTCTCCCATCTCCTTCTGCCCTCCCTCCCCCCCCAATCCAATTAGGAGATCTTGTCCTATAACCCTTCTCCGGGTTACCATGCATATCTCGTAGGGTCTTCCCTGCACCCTAGACTCTCTGGCAGTGGTGTTGTAGGCTGGCAATGCCCTGCTCCATGTCTAAAACCCATATATGAGAGAGTACGTACCATTTTTGTCTTTTTGTGACTGGGTTACCTCACTCAGGATGGTTTCTTCTAGTGCCATCCATTTCTAGCAGCAATTTTTAAATTGTATATCACTACCCCCACAGATAAGTGGCAAGACCTACTGTATCTGTGCCAGAGCAGGGACAACGCTGGAGTCCTGGGAGCCACTGTACCAGTTCATACCACAGCTGAATCCTTGTTGCAAGCCCTGTACAATGCACTCAGACTCCAGCTGAAAGATGTCCCCTTCCATGTCCCTAACCTTGTGATCTTTAGAAACAGAAATTCATCCCCCTTAAAACATTTTTCCTTTTAAACACTCTACTAGAATATATTAACTATGCACAATAATGGGTTTTATCAGGGCCTTGTCATATACGTAAACAATGCATTTTGTGATTGGTTCTTCTTGAGACAAGGTCTCACTAAGTAACCCTGGCTGTTCTGGAATTCATTATATAGACCAGGCTGTCTCTGCCTCCCAAGCACTGGTGTTAAAGGTGTGAGCCACCGCTCCCTGCTATGTATTACAGATCCCTTGTTTCCTCAAGGAGTCTCCCGTTCATTCTCAAGTACTTTTCTGTGTAACACAACCAGTAGGGATTATTTACAAGAACATTTACAGGATCTTGGGCACCTAAGTAAAGGCTATACCTCTGAAGAGAACGTTTCTCCATCCCCAGCAGTCACTGTCTGTAAACCTTCAGGGAGGGAGGAGCATTATGAGCCCCTCCCCCTGGCAACTGCTAACTGTCTATCAATCCTCAGGGAGGGAGGGGCATTGGGAGCCCTAGCAACTATTAACAGTCTCCTCCTAGAGGGACGGGGCCTCTTGAGCCCCTCCTTACTCTACCACTTCCAACTTTAACCTGAGGACCATTACCTGGCCATGCTGCCCCTCGAAACGACCCCACTGTAAACTTGGTGGGCAGACCAGTTAAATGAATGAGAATACGAAGTGTTGATATCCTGGCTTCTCCCTCTTCCGGGGTCCTGGAAGCACTTTAAAAAGGGCCTGTTGGGAATTCTCACACATTCATTGCTACACTACTCACAGGAGCAAGGACACACGGAATTGGCCTAAACGCCCATCAGCAGATGAATGTACAGTGAAAACATACTCTTATATATGCAGTGGGTTTTATTCTGCTGTAAGAAATGAAATCTGCAGAATAATGCATGGGTCTGGGAAGGGCTAAGGTTACTCAGGCTCAGGCACACAAACCCTGCATGCTCTCTGGTGCAGCACATGCGAATCCCAACACTGAATGTGCATATGTGGCTATGTGTGTGGGGTGGACTGTGAAACTGGGAGTGGAGCAGGGGAGGAGAGAGAGAGAGCTGGAGCATGTGACCCGAGATCAGCGCCCACCAGGGGCACAAGAGCCTCAGGGGTGGGAGTGCGGGAGAAGGGGTGGGAGGGGAGGGGGAAGAGGGATGGAGGGAAGGGGGAGGAAGAGGTGAGAGGGGAGGGGGTGAGGGGGTGTAGGGGAGAAGGGGTGGGAGGGAAGGGGATGTGGGAAAGAAGGGGTGGGAGGGGAAGGGGAGGAGGGGAGAAGGGGTGGGAGGGTCAATAAAAACTAATTGTGTTTCAAAATATCATAATGAATCCTAATAATTTGTATGCTATGGTAATGTTTTAATAGTGGTCGAAAGACAACTTCCAGGAATTGGTTCTCTCCTTCCACCATATGGGTTTCCGAAATTGAAAACAAGTCCTCACTCAGGCTTGGTGGCAAGCCCCTTTACCCACTGAGCCATCTTGCTGACCCACTGATAGAGAGTTAATAAAACACAGTGATGACTCAGTCCCGCTCCCCAGTCAGCAGAAATCACCATGGTTTGTGGCACCAGCATAGCCTGGTGTCAGAGGACACGGTTTTCCTGGAAGACTGCGGACATTGCAAACCCCATCTTTTACCTCTGGTGAAGAGGAAATTAAAAGGAACTTTAGGACTGGAGAGAAGGCTGAGTTAGAAAAGAAAAAAAGTGCTTCCCTCAGAAGCATAAAATCCTAAATTCAGTTCCCAGAACCACATGAAAAAAAAAGCCAGGCCTGGTGGCACCGGTTTGTAATTCCGGCATCGAAGGGGAAGAGACCAGTAGATCCCTGGGATTTGCTAGTAGCCTACTTAGTGATCTCCAGGCCATGAGAGGTCATTCATGCTACTGACTGGGGAGCTAGGGCTGACACCAGTGTGTGTGTGTGTGTGTGTGTGTGTGTGTGTGTGTGTGTGTGTGTGTATGTGTGTGTGTGTGTGTGTCCATGAGGATGCAGTTAATGTTGGTAAGGGAGACATGTTTTCTTCAGTGGTGTAGCCACTGGTAAGATTTCCCATGCTCCTGTAAATAAACCCTCCCCATTGCTTCTTCTGCAAGCAAAGTCCAATGAAATTTTCTGGGACATGTGAAATTAGAATGTGCTAATAAAACATTTTAAAAGATTTTTAATTTTTATTAGTGTGGGGTGTGTGTGTGTGTGTGTGTGTGTGTGTGTGTTACTTGAATACAACGCCTTAAGAAGTCAGAAGAGGGCATCAAATCCCCTAGACCTGTAGTTCCAGGCAGTTGTGAGCTGCCCGACATTTGGTGATGGTAACTGAACTCAGCACTCTTATTTGCTGAGCCATCTCTCTAGCCCCCATGAAAAAAATGTTTTTAAGGATGAACAGTACTTGAAGAATTATATCCAAAATTATCATCTGGCCACCACATGGTATGCATATACATCACATTGGTGCACACATATGTGCACTCACATACATGCATCCACATACAAGAGCATGTACATACACACAAACTTAAAATAAAATAATTTTGTGTTACAAGTTATTTCCGTGGAAATCATCCTACAGCTTTGCAATACCATGAGTAAGCCAGATGGTTTTGCTATGAAGGCCAGAACAGGCCTATCCCCTCTCTGAAATTCTTGGAATTTGAAGCCCCTGCTACTTTGTGTCTGTCTTCCTCCTCCTCTACCCTCTTCCGGTGCTGGAACCTAGTTCCTCCTTTCTCTTCCTACGAAAGAGTAGCTGCAAGGGGTAGGGCACAGTGAGAGGCAGATAATAGCCGTTGCTGCCAGCATTACCAGGCACCAAGGAAAGCAATGACTGTGAGCGACTCCAAAGCAAGGGTGCAGCAGATGGGCTCTCTGGGTAAGACTATGCTAGAAGCCTGGGAACTCGGGGAGGTAACCTGTGCCAAGCGAGGGCTTCTGCACTCCTAGGCTCTGGCCAACACTGCCCATTTGGATGAGCAACAGCTTGTAAGTCACAGCTGAGACCTGGTTCTAATAGATACGTGATAGACAGCTTTTGGATTTCTACCGACTCTAGATTCAGTAGTTTTCTAGGGTCATGGGATGAGGAAGAATAGATATCTGGCAGCAGAAATTTGGTCCTGGGAGATAAGACCGAGGGTCTGGATCCCTGGGTCCCTGAAAAGTGGCATTTCTAGCTGCGCCCCTGGCTGAAAACTGTCTTCCGAAACCCCAGGCCCCAGGGAAGTGGAGGTTGTGGATCTGGGTCCTGAGAAGGTAGAGGGTTGGGACTAAACACCTGGATCCCAGGGAGCCAGAGCTGCAGATCTGGACACTGGGGTCCTGGAGAGGTACGGGTTGTGGATGTGGACCTCTGATTGGAAACTGGCTTCGGGGCTTCTTCCTGGGGAGGTGGAGGCTAAGGGTCTGGACTCGGACCTGAAGAGGCTACGTCTGGGTTCCCTGGGCCAAGCATACCACCATCCATCCATCCTTCTCCCTGAAGGGTTTCTGGACCGAGGTCACATTGCCCTGGTGCTGCAGTTGCTGTTACTCGTTCTCTTCGCTGGACTCCTGGCCGCCATCATCATCCAAGGTCAGGATCATCTTGGAGGTTGGGGTTCTCTTGGGGCTTTCAGCTCAGGTATTCGGGTCTAAGAAAAGGAGGTGCTGACAACAGCAACGGGTCCTTCAGCAGCTGCTAACAGCTTCTTGGGACCCCTCCACATTTACTGCAATTTGGGGAGGGAATAGAAGCAGTAGAGGGTTCGTGGGTATCAGCGTTCCTTTTCTTTAAATGAGATAAGATAGCACACTGTGTACCAAATATGGTGTCTGTGTGATCCATGGCACACGGTGAGTTTCAATGACTGGCGGTATCTTTTTTTCTGTCAAGTTTCCAAGATCCCCAGCTCAGAGGAAATGCAATGGGAAAAAACAAAGCAGGAGAAAATGTACCAGGACCTGAGCCAACTGAAGTCTGAAGTTGGTGAGTGAGCAAAAACCAAGTGTCCTGGGACTGAGAGGGCCTTCATGTGGGGTCACTTCATTTTAGCCATCCCTGGGCTTCCACTTCCTTATCTGTGAATTGGGAGTAGTGATTTAAAAGAATGAGGAAGGCATGTGTGGCCAGTGGAAGCCATGTACACAGTAGAACTCAGTTAAACCAGTCTTCTGTCGTCTGTGGAGAAGATGGGTCCTGGGTTCTCTTGGAATGGAGAATGGGCTTAGGAAGTAGAGAGGGAAATGACTCGACCAGGTACTATGTTAAGAGGGAAGCCTCATTCTGGAGGTCTTGAAGCTGGGCAAACATAGGAACAAAAAGACTCAAATATGAGTCCAACCTGATTTGCCTTCACCAACAGATAGCCTCTGTCGCCACTGCCCTTGGGATTGGACATTCTTCAATGGAAACTGTTACTTCTTCTCCAAGTCGCAACGGAACTGGCATGACTCCATCACTGCCTGCCAGGAGGTGGGGGCCCAGTTGGTCGTCGTCAAAAGTCACGAGGAGCAGGTGTGACTGGCTAAGTGCTCTGGTGAATTCTTCTGAATACTGGCAAACAAGGGTAGACATGCTTGTTTATGTGACGTCTTCTGGAGAACAGGCTACGTGCTCTACTTGGAAAGGGTGAAGAGAAGAGTACGAACAGGTGTCCCCACGCACTTTTCAAGTAGGCATACATCAGTTTGAATGCTGCAGGGAGCATTTAAAATGAAAGGGGTTTTGTGAGTGTGCTGGCCAGTGCATAACAGGTTGTTTGACAGGTTTTTAGTTTCCTTGGTGTAACTATTCTCACAAGGGTTGGTTTCAAGTGACCAATGAGGTGTCACTCAATGAAGACCTAAAAAGATGTCACCATTGCATGACCCACAGTCACAAACTGTTGCCGTCTGGCTCCACGATGTTAAAACTGGCCATGAGTACATGCATGTGGACATATTCAGAACACATAAGACAGAAAAGCATGCAGTGTTATCAAGTGCATGTGATGGGTGGCCAGCTGTGCACAACATCTGTGGAAGTCTAAGCACATCTGCCCATATGACACATGTATGCAAAGGATGCAGAACTGAGAACATGAGGCTGGGGGCGGAGCTCAAATGGTAGGATGCTTGCCTAATGTACATGACGCCCTGGACTCACTTCTCAATGTCACATAAGCCAGGTAGTAATGCATGCATGTCATCCCAGCCTGGGGGGAGGGGGGGTGACAGCAGGGGGATCAGGAGTTTAAAGCCACCCTCAACTACATGAGTTTTTTAGGCAACGAGGTCTGTGTCAAAGAAAAAGATGCGAACTGCTGTAGACATATGGGGTCTCCTGACCTGGGGTACCAGAAATTTGACAGGGTTAAATGATTCCAAGCAGACCCTGCTGCCAAGAGAGATTGTAGGAGCATGTCAGCTTTTCCGTTGCTGTGACAAAACATCTGGGAACAGCTCTGGGGAGGAAAATGATGTCTCCTAGTTCAGAGGCTTCAGTCTGTGATCAGATGGATCCATTGCCAAGGCAAGGCAGAAATGTAGTATGAAGACATAGCTGCCTTGTGGCAGCCAGGAGCAGAAAGACAGAGAGGGAGGACCAGGCACAAGACTCTCCTCCAAAGACACTACCAGTGTGCCCTAGCCCCTCCATCTAAGCCACACTTTGCAGCTTCCGTAGGCTACAAATAATGCTGTCAAATGCTGAATCCAGGCCCCCTCTCCCTGAGGATTGATAGGCAGTTAGTAGGGGTAAGGTGAGAGGTTACCAAGGCCCCACCCCTCCCTAAGGATCTATAGGCAGTTAACAGTGGCTGAGGGGTGGAGAGACACTTTCTTCAGTGGTGTAGCCACTGCCATGGTGCCCATGCTCAGGGAAGGAACCCGTCTCCTGTTACAAGTCCTAACTTAACTCATTGATTCATGAAAAATGCAAATGCTTTGTAATCCATTGATGAACATGAGGCCTTGGGGGAAGAGACGCAAGCTGGGAAACAGGGGGGATGCTACCGCCTAACTCTCTCTCCCCCTCCAGAGCTTCCTGCAGCAGACTTCCAAGAAAAATGGCTACACCTGGATGGGGCTGTCAGACCTGAACAAGGAAGGTGCATGGTATTGGCTGGATGACTCACCTCTGTCAGACAGGTAGTCCCAGGAAGGGAACACGTTGAACAGTGGGAGGGAGGGGGTTATCCCTATATGTACTGCCCTTCCAGTTTCCCCCACACTCGGCCACCACATCCTTTGGCCTCAAGGTAAAAGAGTCTGTAACGTTTGCTGATGGAGAAGGAAGGGCGTGACAATCAGATATGACAGAAGCTGCCTAAGTCCTACCATGAGGAGTTTGTAGCCTTCGTGGGTAATCCACGTGTATAATCATAGACACCTTGATAAGGAAGGTCACCAGGCCATGGGATTACATCCTTCAAAGGTAGAATGTTGGGCTACAGAGATGGCTCCGCTGTCAATTGCTTGGAGCACAAGCATGAGAAAGGATCAGAGTTTGATCTCTAGAATTCATGTCTGTTTGCTTTTAAAAAGCTGAACATGGTAGTGTGTGCTTGTAATCCCAACTCAGGGGAGGCAGAGAAAGGTAAATTGTTGGGACTCATGGGAAAGCCAGCCTAGCCTGGTGGGTCCAAGCCAGTAGGAGACCCTGCCTTAGAAAAAGGATGGATGGCTCCTGAACAATGACACCTAAGACACACACACACACACACACACACACCCCACATACATCACACATGCGTGTACACATACACACATCACACACATGTACACATTCATGCATGTGCATAGACACACACAGACACATCACACATGCATGCACTCATGCATATATACACATCACACACATGCACACACACATGAAAAGATAGCATGTCATACTCACAGATCCTCCTAAAAGAAGGAACATTCATCACGTACGGGGAACATCGGCCAGGACCAGGGCTAGCGGGGACGCAGAGTGAAGAGGAGCTGAGGGCAAGAGCCTCTATTGGATGTCAAGGGAAGGAATAGGCAAGGCTGGGTGAGCAGATGTACATGTGGCAAGTCCTTGAGTGTAGACACTGTCCCTGGTTGTTTGGTATTTAGCCCTGGACTCGTGTATTTTGACCCAGAGTATAAGAGCCCAGTGCAGGAGAAGACTGGGTGTGTGAAGTTTACACTGGATAGTTGTGTCTTACAGCCGTGTGCATGGGGAACAATAGTAAAGGTCAAAGTGACCTAAGAATATCATGAGGTTAGGTACAGGGCATGTCTGCCACACACATATAGGGAATCTATGAAGGCACCCAGTTTCCAGGAGCTATGAAAGAGGGTTCCTAAGCGCAGGTAACATTGTGGAAGCAATCTTTCTCCTTTGTGCATTTTTTGCCTTGTTATAAAAAATATCAGGTGACTTAGAAGGAAGGACTTACATCTGGATCTTCAGTTCAGTTCCACCAGTCAGCATGTCTGTTTTCATGCTAGTACTGTACTGTTTCTATTACCACCTCCCTGTGGTATGACTTGGAATGAAGCGTGCTGATACCGCCAGCAGTGTTTCCAACATTCAGGGTTGTTTGGTCTGCACCTGCTTCCATGTGAAATTTAAAATTTTCATTCCTGTGAAGAATTGCATTAGCATTTTGGTGGGGATTGCACCGAATCTGTAGGTTGCTTTTTAATACGGTGGCCGTTTTCATAAAGGTCTCCTGAGTGTGGGAGATCTCTTCATCATTTAATGTCTTCTCCAATTTTTTCTGGGTTTTAAGGTTTTCATTGTAGAAGTGTTTTAACTTCCTTGGTTAGGTTTGTCCCAAGGTATGTTTAGACTACTGTGAATGGGGCTGTTTCCCTGATTTCTTTCTGAGGGAAACGTGTATACTCCTGTGTGTCTCTCATATATGGGAATGCTGCTGTTTTCTCGTGTGTCTGTTTTGTATAATTGTGAATGCTCTTCGCAGATTTGGGAAGTATTGGAATAGAGGACAGCCCAACAACATTGGGGGACAAGACTGTGTGGAATTCAGAGATGAAGGCTGGAATGATGCCAACTGCAACGACATGAAATTGTGGATCTGCAAAAAATCTGCAACTACCTGTTCCAGCAAGTGATGGCCAGACCCCCTCTGCAGTTTCCGCAGCCTAAACATCCCTGTTGGACAGTGGACTTGTACTTTTCCCAGTTCTTTTCCCTATCTATGGGCGTGGAGATCTTAGTATTACATACTCTGGGACGTCTTCAGTCTCCTTTGCTAGTCACTATGGTGCTGGACCATTGATGGCCTTCCTTGGATGTCTCCAAAATCCTGCTGGCACAGCTGTGGTTCTACCGTTGGGTTTATTCGCATTAAAGTTGTGTGGGATACACTGATGGACTTGCTGGGTCCCTCTCATCTCCTCGTCTTCCTTGCTGAGTGCAGAGGCTCTGCATAGCCACACCATTCTAACATGCGTTGCATTAGTAAGTTGCCACATACCATTTGAGCTCTGCTCTTCTCAGGACTGTCTTTATTGGAAACTCCAGCCAGTGACTCAAAGGGGCTTCTCTCATTGGTTTCTGCTGGATTCTGCAAGCAGTTAATTTGATGATGTTTTGGTATCTATTTACCTACACATCGCTTGCTATTATTCTTTTATTTTGGTTTGCTATATACTTAAAAAATTCATTCAAAACTAAAAGTATGGAGGCTGAAAAGATGACCCAATAGTTAAGCACACTGGCTGCCTTTGCACAGGACCTGGGTTCAATTCCCAGAACTCACATGACCTCTCACAACTGTCTGTAACTCCAGTTCCTGTGACTCTGATGCCCTATTTTAGCCTCTGAGGGTACCAGGCATACAATGCTGCACAGATATGCATGGAAGCAAAACAACCCATACACATAAGTGGGCTGTGAATGCTAGTTCCCAAGGAATTGCACGCAATTCCTGCATATTTTCTTCCACCCACCTCCCCTGTGTACTTACTTAGAGGTCTGTCTCTAGCTGTTATAGCACATCCTATAAGCCAAAGCGCCAAGAAGCCTCCTCAGTCGTCCAATGATGGGCGGCAGTTAGTATGTGAATTTCCTACTTCTGCTCTCCTTTGTTTGGTTGGTTGTTTGGTTGTTTGGTTTTTCCAGACAGGTTTTCTCTGGGTAGCCTTGGCTGTCCTGGAACTCACTCTGTAGATCAAGCTGGCTTTGAACTCACAGAGATCCACCTGCCTCGGCCTCCCAAATACTGGGGCTAAATATTCGTGCCACCACCACCTGGCTTATTTATTATTTTTATTGAAAAATTTTCATACTACCTATTTTGATCACAGTTTCCCCTCCCCCAACTTCTCCCTACTCACCCAACTCCTCACCCTTTTTCTCTTTCTCTCTCTCTCCCCCTCTCTTTTTCTCTCTCTCTCAAACAGACAAACAACACAATAAACCATAATAAAAAGAAAAAACACAAGAAATACATACACATAAACACACAGCCATCAAAATCCATAAAAACACACAATCAGAAATCATAATGTATAAGCAAAAGGCCAGTAAGACCAAAAAAAATGCCCAAACAAAGCAAGATGAGGCAAAAAGTCTGCAAAAATACAACTGAGTTTGTTCTGCATTAGTCATCTACTGGAGGGCCTAGGGCCTACCCTTAAGTGGGTTAATTTACCTAGTGAGACTTCACTGGAGAGAATTAATTTTTCCTTTGCAAGTGTCAGTTGCAGATAGCTTCTTGGTTAGGAGCCACTTTTCACCTCTTGGGGCTAGGGCCCCATCTGGCTTGAACAGGCCCCGTGCCTGCTGCCCATGTTAGGGAGTTTACATGTGCATCAGTCCTGTTGTAGCTAGAAGACACTGTTTCCATGGAGTCATCCATTTCCTCTGACTCTTCAATCTTCCTGCCTCCTCTTCTGCACAGCTCCCGGAGCCCTGAGAGGAAGGGCTAGATGTGGATGTTCCCTATATAACAACTGAGAGTTCCAATCTCTCACGCTCTGCACACTGTCCGGTTGTATATCTATTTTAGGTTCCATCTGCTATGATAGGAAGCTTCTCTGACAATGGGCATAACAGAATGCTGTTAGGAGTCAGTTTACTGGTAAGTTCCTTTAAACAGAACAATAGCATTTGGTTTTCTCCTAGGTCCACGGCCTATCTAGCCTCAGGTTCTTAGCTACCCAGCCAGTGTCAGACTTGGGTTCCATTTCATGGAGTGGGCCTTGTGCCACGACGACAGCCCTGTGTCGTGTCCGCAGGTCACTGTTGCAAATCCCAGAGTTTCTAGCTGGGTTCGTGTTTATCTTTTTCCTCCAGTGGCATGCAAGTGTCTTCCAATACTGTGAACGCTGGTCAGTAGAGGTGAAGGCTCTAGGCAGTCACCAGCTCAGCTTCTCCGTGTTCAGTGAGATGTGTAGGTGTTGTCTTCGTCAATGGGCGTTACCATCAGTTTGAGGAGAGCAGACAACAGCCTTGGAAATAGCCTGAGATGTTTGAGAGCTTCCTGTTATTTAATCTGCACTTGAGCTTTGTGTGTATATTGCGCAATTAGTTTTTATGTTGCGGTGAGTGTGTTTCCACCCACTCTAGTCTAACGCATTCTTTTTTCTCTCTTTTTTTATTGATTGATTTTTCACATTCCAATCCCAGTTCCCCCTCCCTCCTTTCCTCCCACTCCTTCCACTCCCCCCACCTCCCATCTGCTCCTCGGAGAGGATAAGGCCTCCCCTAGGAAGTCAACTAAGTCTGTCCCGTCGTCTAGTTGAGGCAGGACCAAGGCACCTCTCCACCCCACACCCCTGTGTCTAGACTGGGCGAGGTATCTCTCCATATAGAATGGGCTCCACTAAGTCAGTGTGTGCATTAGTGTTAGACTTGGACTCACTGCCAGTGGCCTCACATATTGTCCCAGCCACACCATTGTCACCTGTATTAATGGAGTCTAGTTTGGTCTCATGCAGGTTCCCCATTTGTTAGTCTATTGGCATTCTTTACCACACCTTTCACCCACGTGCCTCCCCTAGTATTCCTACAGCTTGTCTTCTTTCTGCCATCCTATCCTCTTTTCACTTCTTAATTACAACTTTCCATAGCTTTAACCATTTCTAAAGTCTCAACTTATCCCTCTCCGATGTTTTACCTACCCTATTTCTTCAACTTTTCAAAGTCAGACTAATACTTAGCCTTATTCTCACTCACTTCGACTTTTTAAATTTAGTTTATCCACTAAAATCTGAGTATATCCCATACTACCCTTGGTTGTTTCCTCCAACAGCACTGTTGTTAATTGAGTACTATAAAATCTGCAGGGCGAGAATATCCAGCAACTGTGATTACTATTCTTCTCGGGGCATAAGGCAGAGTTTACACCAGGCGCCTTGAACTCCTGGACTGAGAATCTATTCTGTGAACTGCACACCTCACCTCTACCACATCCATGCCCCACTTGATCATTACACAAATTTCAAATAGAAGAATATAGGGTTTTTAATCCACAAGCAACCAAACAACTCAGATGTATAAACCCCAAAGCTGTAACATAAGAAATGCAGAAAACCAGAGCAACGTAACTGCTCCAAAACTTCCTCATCTGTGGTCATCTAAGGAGAGCAAATGAGATGAAATCCCAGTCAGAGAACTCCAACGAATAATTGTAGTAACCATGTAAAGAGATGAGCCAGGGAGTGCAAACCTATGCACAGCATTCCTGTCACCTGTGCTTCAGTTTGTGTCCTCGGGTCTCTGTCTGGACTTCTTCAGTGACAGACTATAATCTGCAACTGTAAGACAACCCTTCTGTCCAAAAGAAAAACGTACATCCAAAGAAACCAAAGAAGAAAAAACCATCAAGAAATCAAGCAGCTGAGTGAAATAAGGAAGCTGTGCAGGATGTGAAAGAGGAATTTGATAGCAGATGAAAATACTGGAGAAGAGCTTGTTGGAAATGCTAAAAATGAAATATGGAGTCCAATAAAATGTGTAGAAAGTCTCGCCAATAGAAGGGATCAAGGGGAAGACAGAATATCTGTGCCTAAAGAGAAAATGGAGTAATTGGAACAGTCTAGCAAGGACAAAATTCAAATACTAATAAATTATAAGAACTCCAGAATTCTGACGGCATTACTGATGGCATTACAGAACCTGTGAATTCTGCCCACAGAACACTGTTTTAAAGGCATAAAAATTGTTTTTTAAATGATCACAACAGAAACTTTCCACAAGTTTGGAAAAGAAATGTCAATCCAGCCTCAGGAGCCTTCAGACACCAAACAGGAGCAGAAGAACCTCCTCTTGTCATATCATAACTAAAACACAAATATACAGAACAAAGAAAATGTCTTGAAAGTAGCAAGAGAGAAATACCAGGTCATCAAATTTATAGGCAAATGGATGGAACCAGAAAAATCATCCTGAGTGAGGTAACCCAGACCCAGTAAGATAAATAAGATATCTATTAACTTGAAGTGTGTATTATCTGTTAAGTGAATGATAATCAAACTATAATCTGTAGACCCAAGAGCTGGGTAAAGAGGAGGGCTCTGGGGGGTACCAATGAACCTCCCTGAGAGAGGGAAATAGAGCAGACTCTGCAGGTTGACTGAGAATGGGAGGAATCAGGTAGGGGTGTGGGGAGAATGCAGGAAGAGACAGCTGGAATTGGGGGTGCACTGGGGGTGTGGAAACCTGGTGCAATGGAAACTTCCTGTAATCTGTGAGGGTCAGCCTACTGAGGACTCCTAATAATGGAGAATACAGAATTTGAACTGGCTATCTTTCATAGCCAGGCAAGGCTTCCAGTGCCAGGACTGGGTTGTATCTGGTTAAGTTGTTGGTCAAGTGGGTCCCGTGGAGATCCCTAAACAACCCAGATTGGTACTAGGATAGAAGGTCGCTCTATGAAAACTAATGGAGGGGTCTCACTGCCAAGGACAACATCTGCACAGTTCATTCCATGAAGAGAGGTCGAGCTGGTGCCTGCATGGAGCCTTCTCCCCTATGCATGAGTCTCTTTAGCATGAGAAAGTACTCTTCAGGCTTTAGAAAGAGAAACCTGGGCACTAACCCATCCACAAAATCCTCAATCTACAATCTGTCCTGCCTACAAGATCTTCTAGGGCAATGGTGGCACAGAACTTGTGGGAGTTGCCAACCAGTGTTTGGTTTAACTTCAGGCCCACTTCATGAGAGGGAGTTGATGCTCTACTCTGCCTGGATGGCCCAGAACTGAAGACTGTATAGCCCAGAGACCTAGGGTAGAATGAAACACAACTGATAAACAAACAAACAAAGATCAGTGAAACAATTCTTAATGATACTCTACTATACTCAGATTGGTGTTATGCCCAGTCATCATCAGAGAGGCTTCCTCTGGCAGGGGATGGGCGTGG